CGCGGACAATGCAGCAGATACTCAGCTTGTGCATATATTGAAATGTGTATTTGTTGTAGATGTCTGGCGGTTTCGACGACGTATAGTCCCCTACCCCGTTTCTCTCGCATCTTCTCAACGATCGGTGCGGCATTCAACATGCTTTGCATGGTATCGTTCTATATGTGGCCAAGCATCGAGACTCCTACAGTCCAACTCATCCGGTATATCAGGGACTTCAATTTCAGCGGCATTCATTCATCACACGGGACTCCTGTGACGCTCCTCCACTTCAACGCTGCATTCACTCTGCTCGTTGCTTTTCCTTGGAAACCACCATCTGCGGTGATAGGCTGCCAATGTATTCGAAAAAGGCGACTTCTTGATTTGCATGTCTACGATCTGGATAGTCCCAAATGTCTGGGCTCCTATCTCCATCGTTGTATTCAACGTTCTTGCCTGCTTCTCGCCAGTATTACTACATCAACCGCCTCATGAGTGCCACTGTGTTTGCGGTCTGAAGTCTGCGACGATCGCATCCATCACGGTGATGAACTTTAGCGGTGAGAGTGTGGAACCATGATGTACGCCAGCGCGTATCTTGAATTCTTCTGATCTTCTTGCAGTTGTCTGAAAGTAACTTCTGGCATATTCATTTGTATCCACTGTACATACTCCTCTGATACCATGTGTCTCGCAGTGCCCATCATATTATGGAACGCGCGGAACATTGTTGAATGTCTTCCCGAGATCTAGGATTGCAGCGTGTAATTCACAATGTCTTTTGCTACTTCGTTCAATCATTATTCTGACTGTATGGATGGTGTCCATCGTGCAACATCCCTTCACAAAACCACATTGGTTGAGAACCAGCTCTATGATAATTCGAAGTCTCCTTTCCAGTATTCCTTTGAACATCCTCAAGGTATGGCTCATGAGATTTAGGTCGGTATGTACAGCAGCCTGCTATATCCCCCTTGTTCTTCCACACTGGTATCGGTATCGGTATCACTGGTCTCACTGCACTCTTGTATCCATCGTGGGGCATCTTCTTCATCCTAGTATTTGGGTGAGAAGTCGTGCTAGCCACTCGACTTCAACTTGGCAGCACTCTTAACAGAATTCGTTGGGGGATGTCGTCTGGGCCTGTGGCTTGTTCTTCTTCATCCTCATTACAGTGCTGCGGACTTCCTTCTCTGCGATCTTCGTAACCTGTCCTAGTATAGGTTCAGCTGCTATGTTAGATGAATTTCGTAGGTTGTAGATGCCATTGCTTCCAAGAGTGTTTGCCATCGTGCTCTTATCTCTTCTGGTCTTCTCGGACTTTTCCGTATACATCCTTGTTTTTAGCTGTTATCCTTATCTTGTGAGGCTTTTACTCGTTTTTTGCAATCCGGTATGATTCTCACTCGTCTTCGCGAGTGTGCAGCTTCTTGTTGAAATCTGCCATAAAAGCTGCCTTCGGCTCTCTGACGGGGTTATGGGGTTATGGGCCCGCAAAAATTTTGTAAAGCGTCAAAACAATTGAGGGGTGCTTGGCTCACGCCGTACACCATCATTTAAAGAAAGTATTCGTAGCTCTCGCCTCAATAAAAAAACCTCGGAGGTCACTGCATCAAAAGGCTTTTCCAGCACTACTAGGATATTTTGGTCCAGCGTCCAGTGCCCTGACGCTGTTCTCGGCAAAAGTGCATTGACGTAGAATAAATTTGCATGCGTAATTATCCCATCAAAGGACATTCCTGATAGCTTTTTTAAATGAACCACGGTACGCTCTCAAAATTCCACGTGCTGCCGAGACGGTAACTCTGCTAAACAAACCTGTACAAGGATTAGCGCCGGCCCAACAATCTTGTTTTGCCCATAACTGTTAAGCTTCCATGTCGCAAAACATCTAAACAAGTGTTGATAGTTAACGTAACGTTTTATATCAAAACATACCTTTCGATAGACATCACGAAAGTAGACGTGTAGGATAAATAGATAGTAACATTGATGGGTACCCGAATAGCCAAACATCGATCTCGAGAGTAAAGATTGCAATCATTGGGTGATTTTTGCAGGAAGATTACCAAATCCCAAATATGATTGACAATCCTGGAAAGGTGAAATGAAAAGCTGGAGCATAGACTTTCAAAACTGACATAAGGGAATGCGCAACTTCCGGAATGCAATGGAAGTTTCCGGACACTGCATTTAACCAAGGTTTTTCAGTCAGTAGCTTCCATGTTTCCTCTTTTCTTAACCTCG